AAGGAGAGACAGACAGGTAGATCTTCCGCCCAATGGTTCACTCCCCAAGTGACTGCAACAGCCAGAGCTGAGCCAATCCGAAGCCAGGAGCCAGGAGCTCCTCCAGGTCTCCCACACAGGTGCAGGGTCCAAGGGCTTGGGCCGTCCAGGCCACAGGCAGGGGGCTAGATGGGAAGCAGGGCCGCTGGGATTAAAATCAGTGCCCGTATGGGATCCCGGTGCGTACAAGGCAAGGACTTTAACCACTACGCTATCACGCCAGGCCCTAGAATGTGTTCTTGTAGCATGTCGTGGGAGCCCAGGGGTGTTCTTTCTGTACTAGTCACTCATGCATCTCTGGGAACGTGTTAGTTGAATTGTAAATTTGATAGATTTGGAATTTAGGTTCTTACCTCTTCATTGGCAGAACTTTAGTAGGAAACATTGATTGGAACTTCAGTGTTGGGAATGCCCTAGATTGAAGCTGGATGTAGGATATAAAACATTTAGCAAAGTCCCTGGTATTCGCTCTGCATTGTTGATGTGTGAGTTCCTTCTGAGTGACTGCTTACCCGTAGTTTAAAGCGAATACTGGGTCGGAAGTCTGGCCTCAGCCCTAGCTGGCCTGTGTCCTTGGCCAGGCGCCCTGACCTTCTGGATGCTCTGTCTCTTCTGTGAGAGGAGAGTTTAAACAATCTTCAAGAGTCCTCAGCCCCTCCTGGACGTCGGTATCTAATCTTGATCTCCCTTGGAAATTCTGCAAGCCCAACAGAGACAGCCAGCGTGCAGCCTGTAGGTGATGCTCCGCGCTGTATGGAGGGATTTTCCTTGTCCTTCCAAGGTGCGGGAAGGTGTTTGGATGTCGGGACGCCCAGACGTGTGCAGGAGGCAGCATAGCATTCTGAGCAAATGCTGGCCGGGCCTGGATTCAGTCCTGACCTCACCATGTAGGTCTGCAACTCTAGGCAAGTTGCTTGGCCTGCAAGGAATGTAATAATCACATCTTCTTCAGGACTGTTGAGAAAATTAAATCTCAAATGCATTTGAAGCGCTTAGCAGGGTACCTGACACAGAGTAGGAGATGAACTACCAGGAAGGAAAAGCGGGAGGAAGCCCTAGCTCTTATTTCAGGCCCTATTGTGGAGCTCCCACTTCCTGAAGCATTTATTTAATATCTCAGATGATCTTAATCATCTTATGGCTTTCATGTTCCTAGGGTTTAAACATTGAGTGTTCTGATTGGAACACTAACACGCTGTCTATTTTTTCTCTCACTAAATCACTCTTCTTCTATGTGTGCCCCGAAAGTCATGAGTCCTGCATGGTTCCCATGTACGTTTTCTTTTTCAAAATAGTCTCATTTTAATAGTACAGAGATGCAAAGGGGAAGAGAGGCTGGGAGCCAGCCACTGTCAAGTGCTTGCATTCATGTGGCTGAGTTCATCTTGCGTGCAGCGTGGGACCTGAGGGTGGCCAGGTGCTGGAGGAAAGGCAAACTCAGATCTACTTTTTCCATTTGCTCTTTACTTAGGAAAATCATGGCAAAAACTATTCTAGGATTTTACAGCCTTCAGACCTGGAGGTATCCTGTCTGCATTTAGAAAATCTCCCGGGAATGCCATTTAAAGTGAGATGAAGTCAGGAAAGTTGCTATCTCCTCCTAAGACTTATTCCCAGATATGGCACGAGCAAGCATAAGGGTATTTTCACACATTGGGAAGAAACATTCCATTCCAGATCCAAGTGGAGGTTTTCCACTTTTGGAAGTGCTGCTGGGGCTGTAATTATAAACTAGAACCATCCTAAGATTAATTTAAAGCAGTTCCCAGGATGAATTAGGACCTCGCAATAAAAGTAGTATATACACTCCGTCACATTATCTGTGGCTATTCTTTCTTGTGCCAGTTTGGTTAATGAGGGTAGCAGCTACCCCGGGGGGTTTACTGCTGAAGAAATGTTTAGCAGTGGTACTGTAAACTCAGCACTTTATGAGGGAATGCTGCTAAGGCTTGGTGGCCTTTGAATCTTCTATGGTGTTTATTGTCTAGTTTGATAGGTCTCCCCTTACCAGCTTTCCTCCATCTGCTTTGTTCTTATGAGAATCCAGCAAGGAGCCTGACCTGGTGCTCATCCTCTGACTTGTGGCCTTTGTTCCCCTTCTCCCATCCCCTTTCTCTGCTCTCCCTCTGGGCCCAAACAAGGCTGCATGACGGCAGGCTCGAGGAAAGCTTCTTGCTCGACTAGTGCCTGTAAGATCTCAGGCCCAGGAAGCTGTGATGCCTCGTCATGGGATCTTAGAGTTACTCAGGTGGGCACTGTGCAGACCAGAGAGAGAACAGGGCACTCCTCCATGGCTGCACCCCAACCCCAGGGTATCCTAGGATGCCAGAGAACACTTACACATCTGCAGACGGAATTAGTGAAATGTGCATATGCTGTGCTGTTCCCTGCAGAGCCCAGCTCCTGTCGTTGTTACGTAACTGGCATATTGAACATTTGTGTTGTGATCTCTGGTGGTGGAATTTAGTTGGTTCCAGCTTTTTAATATTAACACGTGTTCTCTTAATGAACACCTTTGTCTAGTATTTCCTTAGAATTCCACAAGCAGACTTATTAGGACAAACTAATTATACATTTGAAGTTGTAATATAAACTGTCAATTTTCCCAATTATTGTGTGTAAAATGCCAGTTTGTGGTTGTTTATCTAACATTGTAAACTTTCCTCATTGATTTTAAAGAGTTCTTCATATATTAAGTAAGACTGTAAACATTTTGACATAGGTGATAAAGATATTTTCTCAATTTTTAACAACTTAAAAAGTATGTAACTACTTAGACATGTTAAATTTTTGTAGATTTCACCTTATTAGCATGGCTTCTGTGGTTTCTGAATCTCATGTCATGCTTAACAAAATTTTTCACATCCTACAATTACAAAAATATTGCCTTCTCCTTTGTTGCACTTTTGTTTTCAATGCTTCATGCATGTAGGAGTCTGCGTTGGTATTGAGTGAGGCTGCCTTTCAGCTTCGTAGTTTTCTAAACAGCCACTTTGGCTAATAACCATGGGTCTAAGGAATTCATGGTTAGTTTAGAATGACCAAACCTTGATAGCATCTAACCTCTAAAAAGGGCTTATTTTCACAGATAACAAGTTTCAACTTCACACTCCGAGTTTCAGTATTTTTCTGTTTTGAAAGCCTCTCCAAAGGAGCTGTGACTTGAGCACCATATTGGTTTTGGCATGAACTTTAATGCATCATAAATAGGCTGATTCTACAGAATTCGATCCACAGTACTCCTATGTCTTGATGCCTGGCTGCCAAGCAAAATTGATTATTTCTAACCAAAAGGCCTTTAGTACTAGACTGACGAAGAGGCTCTTGTGCGGCCGCCTGCAGATTACATAATTTGGCATCAAGTAGAGTGCTTCTGGGTCCTCTCTTGCATTTCTTTCTCTTCTCTAGACCCCATGCCTCTTGCTGAGGGACTTTGCAGGATCTCGAACCAGATCTTTTCTGTCCAACTTGTAGTTGTATCTCTAAATGTTGTGAGTTTTTTCTTTCTTTCTTCCTTTCTTTTTTTTTTTTTTTTGACAGTCTGATAAATAAATACCTCGGTCTTTTTTTTTTTTTTTTCCCTTGGCAGTTATTCCCATCTCTTTTCCGTATCGTGCTTGGCTGGGATTTGTTGCTCCAGTGTATTTTCAGTCACACTGTGACCTTGCTTTGACCTGGGGGCTCTCTTGATAGTGTCAGAGGTGCCCTTGGTCCTTCCAGCTTGAACAATTCCCTGAGTATCTTGTACCCCCCTGGAAGGCTCCTCTTTGTTGTCACTTCCTCCTAAATGATTGTAGTGCCATTTCCAGCGTATTTCAGCAGTGAGCTCTTGGGGAGGGCGATGGATTGTGCCACTGGGAGTGCAAGGCATCCTGCACACAGCCACTAGACTCCCTGGAGTCATTCTGTCAGGGGTCACAGCCCTACGTGCCTGTCTTCTGCACCTGTTACGTCACCTGTCCACCCCATGTCGCAGATATGTCGCAGATATGGATAGGACCACTTACCTCACAGGGCCATAGTGCGTAGCAAATGAGATCAAACATGTAAAGCACTTAGGGCAGCTGCTCTTCCACAGTAAGCACTTAGTGAATGTTAATTTTTCCCACCCTTTTAGTGTTGTTTGCTCTTCTTGGATGTTACAGTGCTGTTTTTTCCTCCTCATAAGAAGAATACATGTAAATTACAGGAAGTTTAGAGAAATTCAGAGACAAAATTTCCTGCAATTCTATCTCAACAGTAATTATAACTTCCATTTTAATGTATTTTCTCTGTGTGTGTGTGTGTGTGTGTTTTAACTTGTATACTATTTTACACAGTTCAGGTCATTTTGTATGTATGGTATGTCTTATGTCTTGATTTTTTTTTTTTTCACTTATTTATCATTAAAACAGTTGTGTCTTTGGAGTTTGTGTTGAGCCGTTCTCTTGCTGTGACATTTCCTATTTGGAGCTTTCTGGATGAGGCGGGGCTTGAGATCATTCTAACTCCTTAAGCCAGGCTCTGTTCTCATCAGTACTCAGTTCAGGTGTGGAGGCAGTGGGTTTTCTTGTTTTGCCTGCTGAGTATTTGAATCAGCCAGGATGTTAAGTATCAAAATCCTATGCTGTCGCATCCCTTCACCGTCTTTCTGGATGATTCCCTTGCCTGGTTGCCCTTCTAATCTTTTTCTGATGGGTCAGTGTAGACAATGATTAGTGTTCGGCCCCTGACCTGACGGTGCTGTGTGAGTGCTCAGAAGCCAGCCAGAATACACACGGCGTCCTGTCCGTGCGGCCTTGCTGAGGTAATCGCGCGGAGCGGTTTCTGGTGAGTAGACTGCCCTAAATTGTCCTTGACAGGGTACACTATTTCTGTTTCAACTTTCTGTTTTTCCCATAAAGCTGGCTTTTTAAAGTATGTTGAGACTGAATCCATTTGTACTTTGGAATATAAAGGGATCTTGTGCTCTTTACTCTCAGAAAACCAGCCAAGAACAGCCTTCTGAAAAGACGTGTGTATCCCAAATTGCCAGGGAAACCTGCTGGGTAGATATGCTTTCTGAGAAACCACATGGCCGATGAATGTCCTCTTTGTCTGCGAGGGCGCAGTAGTCTGGTCCTGCGGCCGGCTCTCACTGGCCAGCTGGAGCCGCGTGTTAAACTCCCGTGGTGGAAACGGTGCTGAGGGCGAGACTGCAATGCTTGCGGTTTGTGACTTTAGGAGGTTTCTTAAAGTGATACCAGCCTGTGTGTGAACTTGACACTGTTTTTCATTTCCTGTCTTTGGTCGCTTCACTGTCATGGCCAGTTATATATTCTGATGTTAAAATAGAGGATGATTTTTATCTCAGCTGCTGAGCTGAGGCCAGAGTGGTTCAGAAGTGGATACTAAGAACTGCAAACCAAAGTCTTGGCCTTAAACCCTACGAAGCCTTAGCTAACTTCCAGTTAGCTTGTGGAAGTGCTAACTGAAGGTTAGGTGATGCAGGCTCGGGTCCTGAATGCCTAGCAGTGGTCCTGTCTTAGTAAGCTATCCCAACATGGCATCCATGAGAGCCTGACACTTTTTGAAAGGGACCTCAGAAGGCATGTGTTCTAGCTCCTGCGTCTCCAAAAAGAGGCAACATCCAACATTCTCCTGTCTTTTCATATTATTTTCTTTTTTTTTAAGATGTTTATTTTTGTTGCAAAGAGATTTATAGAGAGGAAAGATAGAAAGATCTTCAGGCCACTGGTTCACTCCCCAAGTGTCTGCACTGGCTGGAGCTGAACTGATCTGAAGCAAGGAGCCAGGAGTTTCTTCAGGTCTTCTATGGGTACAGAGTCCTATGGCTTTGGGCTGTCCTCTAGTGCTTTCCTAGGTACATGCAGGGAGCTGGATAGGAAGTGGAGCTCCTGGGTCAGGAATTGGTGCCTCTATTGGAGCCTGGCGCAGGCAAGGGGAGAATTAACCAATCAAGCTACTGCAGTGGGCCCCAAATGGCTACTTAACATAGGACCAACTAACAATGACAAGTTAATGTTTAAAAAGGACTTGGCCTTTCTTTCTTTCTTTTTTTTTTAAACTGACACTGTTACTATTTCTGTAATTGCTGCAGAACAAGGTCCTGGAGTCTTGCCCTGTTAGGAAGGCAGCCCTGTCAGGGCTTCTGTTTGCCCCTAGACCTTAACCTTTCTTTGTGATTTATGTCTTTGTGCAGGACTTTCCTTGGTCTTTAACTTTACTGAGCAAAACGATATTGTTTGAAACAGGTGTTAGGAATGTAAATCAGGCTATAATGGCAGATACTGTCAATTTAAAAAATCTAAAATTTCATTACAATGAATTAAAACAGGTAAATGAAATCAAGGTTGGGGGTGAGGGGCCAGGGAAGCATAGGTAAGTTTAGAATAAATCCAAACAAGGTCGAGGACAGAGAGCCTGGACTGCAGGGACAAAGCAGGATGAGCTGCAGCGTTAACAGCATATCCTCGGGTAACAGCCACAGAGGACGAAGGGGTCTGTGAGAACAGACCCACTGTGACGGGGCGGCGGTGGGCACACACATGGCCTGCCGCCCTGGGAATCCCTCTGTCCTCTCACTTCTTGCTGCTCACTAGTTTGAATTATATGAATATGCCAGACTTTTATTTTTAATTTTTTGAGATCTTTTAAACTGAAAATGTAAAAATCAAATTAATTTGAAAATAAGAGTATTTTGATTTTCCACACAGGCTGTGCATATAAGTACTAAAATAATTTTGGATTTGAAAATGTCTTGTATTTAAAAAAAATCATTTATTTTGAAGGAGTTACAGAGAGAAAGGGAGAGATCTTCCATCCGCTGGTGCACTTCCCAGATGGCTGAGCAGCCGGGGTAGGGTAGGTTGAAGCCAAAGTTCAGGAACTTTTGAATCTGCCACGTAGGTGTGGGGGAGTCAAAACATTTGGGACATCTCTCTCTGCTCTTTCTACGTCATTCAAAGGGAGACAGATCAGAGATGAAACATTCGGGTCGTGAACTTGTGCCCACATGGGATGGCAGCATCTAGGTGATGGCTTTACCCACCATGCCACAACACCGACCCCTGTCTTGCATTTTTAAGGTTTAAATTTTGTGGGGACAGTGGTTGGCATTTTGGAAATTTTTTATTAGTGAACAAACGTGTGTGTTCAGTAACTGATAACACCCTTTTATGTTCTTGAAAGATTTTCTGCCAAGTTAAATGCAGTTAGTAACTACCTGGCTGTGTTATTAACGGTCATACCTTTCATAGGAGGAAAATGTTTATGAAAAGTAGAATTTATGAAGTTTTGAGCAGCACAGAATATGTTTGTAGACAAATACAACCATCACATTAATCATGAACTAAACCTGCCTGTGACGATATACACATGATATTGTTATTGTTGCGCTCTGAGACCCCAGGTGGTTAACATTCTTCAAGATGTTTGCTACTTTTAGAAAATAAAATGCATCTTTTTTTAAAGATTTATTTATTTGAACTGCATAGAAACTCTGATGTTAAGTTTGTACTTAGCTGTTATGTATGATGGATGTTAATGTTGAAAAAAAAAAGATTTATTTATTTTTATTGCAAAGTGAGATATATAGAGAGGAGGAGAGGCAGAAAGGAAGATCCTCCATCCATTGATTCACTCCCCAAGCAGCTGCAATGGCTGGAGCTGAGCCGATCCGAAGCCAGGAGCCAGGAGCTATTCCAGGTCTCCCACATGAGTGCAGGGTCCCAAGGCTTTGGGCCATCCTCGACTGCTTTCCCAGACCACAAGCAGGGAACTGGGTGTTAAGCAGGACTGCCCGGATTGGAACTGGTGCCCATATGGGACCCCAGCACGCGCAAGGCGAGGACTTTAGCCCCTAGGCTACCATGCTGGGCCTCAACATGCGTCTTTTAAAGAGTGGCTTCACAGTAGAGAAGCCAAGCGATTTTGATGCTGAGCTTGGTTGAACTTACTGCTGGGATCACACCTTCTGCACAAAAACTAGAACACAGAGTCTTTACAGGGAGTCCTCCCTGGTTTGGGAGTCTATACGCATTTGAAAATGTTCCCAAGACATAAATTAAGTCACAATTGATTAAGTCAATTGCAATTTGTTGAATAAAGGAATATGTTAAAATATGTAAAACATATACATGTTAATGCTTTTATATGGATTAACTTTTTAAAAAAGATTTATTTATTTTACTTGAAAGTCACAGTTACAGAGAGAAAGCCAGAAAAAGACAGAGATCTTCCACCCCCTGGCTCACTCCCCAGTTGGCCGCAATGGCTGGAGCTGGGCCAGTCCAAAGCCGGGAGCAAGGAGCTTATTCCGGGTCTCCCATGTAGGTGCAGGTACTTAAGGTCTTGGGCCATCTTCTGCTGATTTCTCATGCTATCAGTAAGGAGTTGGATCAGAAGTGGAGCAGCTTGTACTAGAACCAGTGCCCATGTGGGATGCTGGCACCACAGGTGGAGGATTAGCTTGATACACCACTGTTCCAACCCCTGTAAAGATTAGTATTTTCCAGGCAGTCTCAAATCAGAAAAGAAAAAGAGAAACAGTAAAATTCTTTATTGAGCAGTTAAATGGTTCTGGCAGAGTTAAGGTGTATGCTTGTGTGTGTACACACGCACACATACATGCTCTAGCCCTAAGTTGCTTGTTATCCATGTTGCAGGGTATGCAGGGCCCAAGACAGGGCCACTGCTGAAGGGTTCTGATGTGCCTTGCAGACAGGACCTATCTTTCTTTGCTTGCAGAATTCTTCCCTTCCCCCTAAAAATGGATTGCTTGAGATGCCTCTTTCTGTGTATTTTGGTTGTGAGTTTTGCCTCTTCATTTAGTGCCCAGCAGGAGTTTTATATACTTTTTAGAAACCGAGTGTTGGCATACTTGCATGCCTTCTTGCTTTAACAAAACCCAAATTATAAAAATTCAAGCCTGCAAAAACACTTACATAGGAGTTTTAATTTGCATTCTTAACTGTTAACATTTCTTTAAATGTGCGTAAAAATTGGATCCCTTTTAATCTAGAGATATCTTTCAAAACTACATCTGTTAATTACAGATCACTTGGCATTTCAGTTTTCAGATTTTACTTGAGTTTCTTTTGTCTTCTTTTATGTGACAGGAAGAGAGAGAAACCTGCCCTTTTGCTGTCTTGGAAATTTCCAGCCCAAGAAAGTGAGCAGAGGCATAGCTTGCCGGGATTCTTATCTGATCAGTCAGCTCTCTCCCTGAATTATTAAGTTACATTAAAGTAGCAGATTGGCAAAGTTGACTTTTAGATTTTCATTTCTTTTGAAAGATTAATCTCCATACAAGAATGATGATACATTTTTTAAAAGATTTATTTAGTTATTTTAAAAATCTGGGTTACAGAAAGAGAAAAGGAAAGGTAGGGGATCAGTGTTGTAGTATAGTGGGTTACACTCCTTCCTATGACACCAGCATTCCACATGGGTACCAGCTCAACTCCTGGCCAACCCACTTTTGATCCAGCTCCCTGCTTAGGCACTTAGGGAAGCAGCACAAGATGGCCCATGTTCCTGGGCCCCTGCCATCTACATGAGAGATCAAGAAGAAGCTCTGGACTCCTGGTTTGGTCTTGGTCCAACATTGGCCATTAAACCATTTGTGGAGTGAACCGGAAGATGGATTGTCAGTCTCTCTCTCATGCACTTGCGTGCTCTCTCTCCCGCTCACTCTCTATAGTTCTGGTTTTCAAATAAGCAAATGTCCAACAGTTTATCCTCCTTCCCTGAAAAAATCTTGGAGAGACAGATCTTCCATCTCTCCAAGTGACCAGCGTGGGATCAGTTCAGAATCAGAAGCTAGGAGCTTTATCTAGGTCTTCTACACGCATCCCAGGGGCCCAAAAGTATCTGGGTCAACTTGTGCTGCGTACCCAGGTCACACAGGAGGGAAATGCATTGGAAGTGGAGCAGCAGGGACTTGAACTGGTGCCCGTATGGGATAGTGTTGTTGCAGGCAGTGGCTTTACCCAGTACGCCACAACTCTGCCCCAAATAATGATATTTTTGATGTCTCTAGTATTTTCAGATATCACATTGTGCTCTGTTCTTGC